CCCCCAGCCACCTCCCCGTGGGCTTCCGCCCCCAGCCACCTCCCCGTGGGCTTCCGCCCCCAGCCACCTCCCCGTGGGCTCGCCGCAGAGCAGCATGTTACCACCTGGGAACCCAAGTGGTGTCCATCCTTGCCTGAGGTCCGAGGCTGACTTTGGGGGTGAGGTCCGCGGTGCTGGTCTGTGGGTTTGGACAGCGTGTAGTGTCCTGCCTGCCGGAGAGCGTCGCTGCCCCAAACCACTGGCACGCCACCTGTCTATGCCCCCGCCCCACCACCCCCACGGTGTGATCGTGTGTATCTCACCTTCCCCAGGGTCACGCAGGTGTGACCTTGTGCCGCGAGGCCTTCTCCGCTCGGCTCCGGGGCCGCCTCCTGTGTGAGCGCTGACCGGCCCGCCCTGCGCGCTCTGAACCACCTTTCAGAGGTGTATTCTCGGAGCTCCAGGAGCAGGACCCCGGGTTTGCCCGACACAGAACACGGAGCTCTCCGTAGCTCAGCACCCGCCCGCTGAGCAGGCTGGAGATGCACGGTCAGGGCCACACGTGGGGGTCACGGGTGATGTCGTCGCCTTGGTCTGTGTGGGTCCCCAGGCCTCTGGGACCGGGTGAGTCACCCTGAGTCACGATATGCTTCTCACTGTTCTTGGGGACCATTTTGAGCTCTTAAGCTGTTGTGTCTTAAGCAGCATGTGCCTGTCCGCATCCCCGGCTGAGCACTGCCCTCTGAACCCTGTCCTTGGTCACCCCTGATGGGAGAGCTGTCCGGGTGCCCGTCAGAGGTGAGACCCGTACACGGCTCTGTGAGCTCTCCTCTCGTCCCCCTCCCCACTAGGTACATGTACTGGACAGACTGGGGGGAGACGCCCCGGATCGAGCGCGCAGGAATGGATGGCAGCACCCGGAAGATCATTGTGGATTCAGATATTTACTGGCCCAATGGGCTGACCATCGACCTGGAGGAGCAGAAGCTGTACTGGGCGGATGCCAAGCTCAGCTTCATCCATCGCGCCAACCTGGACGGTTCCTTCCGGTGAGTGACCGCCAGCCAGGGGCACTCCCCACCCCACCCAGCACCCGGCTGCCCCCAGGGTGTTCAAAGGTGAGCTTCTCAGCTCAGGGACGAGGCTCTCATCCGAAGCTCTGGGGACCTGAGGAATTCAGAACATGTTTTGCTGCCAAATGAGTGACAGAAGCGGGCTGGGGATGTGGCTCAAGCGGTAGCGCGCTCGCCTGGCATGCGTGCGGCCGGGTTCGATCCTCAGCACCACATACCAACAAAGATGTTGTGTCCGCCCAGAAATAAAAAATAAATATTAAAAATTCTCTCTCTCTCTCCTCTCTCACTCTCTCTTTAAAAAAAAAATGAGTGACAGAAGCTTTCAATTTTCAGAATGTTTTGAATTTCAGAATTGCAGTAAGTAAGACTTGTGGCCTGATAGGGCTGTGAAGGGCTCACCTGGCCACGTGCATACCACCCTGCCCTGCCATAGGCATCCCAAGGGCGGCAGCAGGCCTGAATCTTAGTATCTCTGCAAACCTCAGTCTTGCCAGAGGGCTTTGCACATAGTAGATGCTCAGTAAAATGGGTCAAATGAGTAAGTGAATAGGGAGGATTTTTCCTGCATTGGGTAATTGCTTTTAGGGCTTTCTGGGTTACTCAGCTTTAGCAGCCCGCTGCACAGACTTGTGGACATCACCCCACGCCAGCCTCCCGTGCTAAGTGTCTGTTGCTGTGTAACCACAGGCCCTGAAATTCGCAGCCTAAACCAGCACGTGGGTGTCTTTGCAGGGAGGGGTTGGCGGTCAGGAGCAGCGTTGCCAGGCAGTTCTGGCTCAGGTCAGAGGTCAGCCAGGGCTTCTTCATGTAAAGGCGTAGCTGACCTGCAAGGCCCCGTTTCAGGCTCACTTTGGGGATGGAGGCCTCCGTGCCTCCTGGGTCTCCTGCAGCCTGCATCTTGGCCGTTTTGACACATTGTCCCCTCACCCCCGAGAGCACAGGTCAGCTACACAGGGGGACCGTGGTTCTTGGGAGCCAGAGGTCCTGCTCTTAGAAACGCTGCCGGCTGGGGGTGCCCGGGTCAAGGGTCACTGCATGTGGCCTCTTTGCTGGGCCTTCTAAGCACGTGGAGAAGAAAACCTTCTTCTCGTGCTGAGGCCAAGTTCAGTTTCCCCTGGGACCGTCGTCCGCGGGCTCTCGGGGATGAGCCGGTGCCTCTGCTGCCTCTGCACTGGGCTGCGAGGCCTCGTCGGCCTCCCCTGGCCTCGCTGGCCTCACCTCTCAGCGGGGCTTCTCCTGGCTGCTGCCTTCACCCTCTGCCTCCCCTCTGCAGGCAGAAGGTGGTGGAGGGCAGCCTGACACACCCCTTTGCCCTGACGCTCTCTGGGGACACTCTGTACTGGACGGACTGGCAGACGCGCTCCATCCACGCCTGTAACAAGAGGACCGGGGAGAAGAGGAAGGAGATCCTCAGTGCCCTCTACTCCCCCATGGACATCCAGGTGCTCAGCCAGGAGCGGCAGCCTTCCTGTGAGTGCCTGGTGGGCCCGGTGGGGTGGCCAGGTGGAGTCCGCCCTCCCCCGGGGAGACGCTGTGTGGCCCTCCTGCAGCAGGTCAGAGCCTCTTCCCCTGCAGAAGCCACGTGGGGGGCGGGGGCAGCGTCTTCCCAGGGCAGTTGCTGGGCCGGAGGGGGTGTGCGTGGAGCTGGGCAATCTGGGCCGGTGGACAGGGGCCCTCTGGAGAGCTCACGTGGGGCTACTTCCAGGATCCGAGGTGGCCGTGGGATTTCCAGAGGCCCAAAGTGGGATTTGTGTGCAGAGTCTGCTCTAAGTTGGTGGCGCTCAGCCTGATGCTGAGACGGGTGACCTGAGGGGCCAGCAGGGACCCAGAACGGGGATTTCTGGCCAAGCCATCGTAGAAGGCTTGGACTCGGACTCCAGAGCAGGGGTGCATACGGGCTGGGGGGAGGGCGGGGCTCCCTGGAGTTGGTTCCCTGAGAACAGCCCTCACTCCCCGGCCAGCGTGGGCAGGTGGCGTCCCCGCGGCCAGGCTGTTCCGTTAGCTGCGTTTCAGGGCGGAGTCCACCCTCCCCTGGGCAGCAGGGCTCCTAGGAGCATTGGCTGAGTTTCGTTTGCTCCTGGTTGCAGAAGGGCGTGGGGACAGGCTGAGCTTGGCCCCCGAGAGGCTCCCCCAGCCTGAGCACGGTTACCACCACGGAGCCCGCAGGGTCCTGGCACGTGAAGGGGACAGAGCTCTCCTCTTGGGGGTCCCCCCTGTTGCCACTCGGGCAGGTCCTGGGCTTCTGCTCTGGGCGTGAGGAGGACGGCTCTCTTGGGGGCCTGGAGAGGGGAAGGTTTTCTTGCTGGAGGAGCCCAGGGTGGGCAGAGTGTCCACTCCAGGGGCGGAAGCGGGGCTGGGAAAGTCGTGGCCAGTTTTGGAGAAACCACAGGGCAGCTGATGAGGCCGAAGGCCGACTTGGCGGGTGGTCAGTGGTGAGGTGGAATGGACTGGTCCCCAGGTGGAAGGGTCCTAATGTCACTGGAGGGTGGCACCAGGGCAGAGGGACACACCCTCTCTGGGGGGGTGGACGAGGAGGCCGGATACTGTCTTGCTTGGAATCAAAGGGCAGGGCAGGGGTGGGGTCTGGGTGGCCGTGAGGGCCACTGACCCTGTTCTGGAACTTTCTCTGTTTTCCCCAGTCCACACGCAGTGCGAGGAGGACAACGGCGGCTGCTCCCACCTGTGCCTTCTGTCCCCGAGGGAGCCTTTCTACACTTGTGCCTGTCCCACGGGCGTGCAGCTGCAGGAGGACGGCCGGACGTGCAAGGCAGGTGAGGCCGCGCGGCCTGGGCTGGGCTGGGCTGGCCTGGCAGGAGGTGCTGTGGCCAGCCAGGTGCCCCAAAGGAGACACGGGTCAGCGTGGCCTGCTGAGGTAGCAGAGCCTCAGGTGCTGCCGAGTCTGTGTCCAGGCGGGCGTCCCCTGGATACAGACTGCTGGGACCTGCTGGCCACCGCGGGGCTCCGTCTCCTGCTCTCTGCTCCTTCGTGTGCCTCCGTGGGGACAGGGACTTGCGGTTCCTCTTTGCCCCTGCGTCTGATTTCACGGCGTCTCTGCTGCTGCTGTCCGTTGTGGAGATCCAGGCCCAGCGTCCTCCCTGGGGACTGTCCTCCGGCTGCCTGGACACGGGTCCCTCCATCCCGTGTGCACGGGTGACTTTGCTTCAGAGGCCTTGCCCCCCGCCCTGTGCTCGCCGTCCTGGGCCCTGGCCGCCGTGGGGCTCCTGTTGCGATTGTCCTGCCGCGAGCCAGTGTCCCCTCTGTGGCGCCTGCTGAGTTTCCGGGTGTCAGGCTCAGGGTGGGCTTTTGGGGAGTCGTCCCGTCACACGGCTGCTGCAGGCTCGGCTCAGCTGGTCTGGCTTGTGGGGCCGAGGCCGGGGCCTGTCCGCCGAGGGGGTCAGTAGCAGAAGTCAGGAAAGTGGCCATCCATAGGATCAGCCCCATTTTGTGGAGGTGACAGGGCCCAGCTGGTGGGGGTTGGGGAAGGGACCTGCTTCTGCACCTTGTTCCACCTGAAGGAAGGCAGCAGGGGCTTCTCACGGCGGCTGGCTCCCAGCACACGGCCCGGGCCGGGGTCTCCCTGGGCTGGAGTCTGTGGGGGAGGGACTGCGCCCCTTGGGCTAGCTGCTGCCCAGGCCCCTGGGGGTCCCTACTCAGGCACTTCCTAGCCCCTCTGCTCTCAAGGGCTGTGGTCTGCCTCCGTGTGCAGTGGTGGGTGGGGGCTGTGGTCTGGTGGGGGTGGGGTCTCCCCTCTGTCCCTGGCAGGACTTTGGCTTCGGGGAGGATTCTCGGGGGTCTCGGTGGGCGGCTTCTCTTTCCTAGAACGGCGCGTCTTAGGTGGAGGTGACTCTGCTGCTCCACCTCAGGGCCGTCAGCTGTTCTGCTGCCCCAGGGCACAGTTGGCCTGTGGTCCCCAGTTAAGGCCTTGCTTTCCTGAGTTGGGGGAAAGAGGGGCACCACCTTTGTAGAGACATGGGGACCCACCCTCTGGTTCTCTTCCAGGGGGACTCGAGCTGCTCAGAGCTGGGGGCTGCCCGAGAAGCCCCCTGACTGCTGTGTGCATCCCTCCACCCGCCTGCCCACCTGCCATCCACCCGCCTGCCCACCTGCCGTCCACCCGCCATCTACCCACCTGCCCACCCATCCATTCACTTGTTCATCCTTTTGCTCATTTAGAGCACTTATTGAGCACTTGCTGTGTGCTGCACGATTCTAGGCACTTGGTACCCTGGAGAGAACAGTGCAAACAGAATTTCTGGCCTCTGGAGCTTATGCTGGTGGACCGGGGTGGGAGGTGGGGAGTGAGGGACTTCCTGGGTCAGTGAGGGATCTGGCTTCTTGGGGGAGCATCTGGGGAGACCGGCTCCTTGTCTGTCCTGAGGCCCTCTGGGACAGGGAAGCCGAGCGGGTAGCTGGTCCACGTGAGGAGGTCCCGGCAGGTTAACCCTGAGCGTCTCGGCCGCCCCGGGGGTCTGGACCGAGCAGGTTCAGGGTAGACTGCAGGCACTTGAGGTGGCTGCGGGAGCAGCTTGACTGGGCAGGGTTACCTCCGTGTTTTAAGATGAGAAGACTTAGGGCTGGTCACCACCCGGGGCCCCACAGTAAGTGGCAGGTAGCTCTAGGAGCCTGGTGCTCCCCAGGGCTGCCCCCTGTCCTCATCAGGGGCCCCACAGAGGACCCAGCCCGTGAGTGATGCGAAGCACTGGGCAGGTGGCCGGCACAATCTGTGGCACCGTGTCCACCACCCATAACCCGCATCAAGTTGTCCCCACGACTTGGATCGTGTGGCCGACAGCAGGCCTGCGAGAGTCGGGGTGGGTCTGCTGAGGCCTGGATTTGCCTGCACCGTCCAGGGGTCCTCGGGTGGGCAGTCGTGGGGGGCCATGTGCAGCTGCTTTTTCTCCCGGCCCCACGAGGCAGAGGGTCTGGGCTGTGGAGGTCTCGCTGTTCTCTGGTTCCCATTGGTCCCCTAGCTGGAGCCCCTGTGTCCTGGGGACGGGCCGCCTGTAGCGGAGGTCTCCGAGGGCACCAAGTTCTTCTGTGGATGTTAACTGCTTTCCATGTCCAGCCCAGGGCAGCCCCTGGGTGACCACGGGAGCCAGGTGAAGAGAGAGGAGGCCCTGGGTCACAGCTGAGGCGGGAGGGCTTCCTGGAGGAGCCAGCACTGCAGGCTGCCGGGGCCCTGGGCTCAGCGCGGTGCTGACACCGACACCTGTGGGTGCGGCCATGGGTGAGCAGCGAGCCTCGCTCTTCCTGCTGGCGCTCCTCCAGGCCTGGCGACTTCCCAGCTCCTGGCCTCCTGCAGCAGGGACAGCAGCGTCCAGATCCCTCGGATGCAGCTGTGCAGGGCCCTTCCCTGCTCTCAGGAGAACCGACTCCCCCAGCTGGCAGGGCACTTGACAGTCTCCCCTGGAGGACAGGGTTTGTGTCACCCTCGGAGGCCCTGTGTCAGGCTGGGGCGTCCTAGTGGGGACTTGGGTTTGCTGAGCTGGAGTCTCCGCTTTGGCTGCAGATCCCTGTCTGGGGCGTAAGGTCGAGCGGAGGGAGAGGCTCCGAGATGCCCACAGGGCCCGCACCAGGCCTCGTTTTGCAGCAGAGTGGACTGTAGGGCTCACTGCTTCCTGTCGGTGGCCCCGAGCAGGGCCACACCACGGGTTTCTCACCTGTTGGCTGGTTGGTGGCTTCTGTCTCCCTGCCCGGGCTCACCTGAGGTTTCCCGGATGGCTGGTGTGGGAAAGAGTCGACAGAACTGAGAAGAGCCCTAGAATCCGGGGTTGCCCACCCAAGGACCTTCTGCCGGCTCCTGCTGCTCCTGTGTTGTTGTGGCTCCTCAGCTAGAGGGGTGTGGGGACGGGTCGGAATGTGGACCATGGGCTGTGGCTGCTGGCCACCTAGCTCCGTGACCGTGAAGCCCCTGGAGTTCGTAGCTGGTTACACACGAGAAGCTGAAGAGGACACTGGATTCTGTTTTCTGTTGCTGCTGACGGCCTGGCTTTGAGGTCTCGCGGGCAGAGGCCTCGTGTGGGGCGCCGGGCCAGCAGGGAAGTCAGGCAGGTCAGAGCCCGCCGGAAGGGAGTGGTGCCCGTGGCGGGCCCCCAGTGCCCTGGAGCCTTCCGAGGTGTCCGGTTGGAGGGTGGAGTTCGGGAGCAGGCAGAGGACGCCAGAGGTGCCGTGGGGATCTCCTCTGGGCTGTGGAATCCAGGAGGTCTGGGTTCCAGGACACGAAGAACCAAGGTCACAAGGCCAGGGCTGGGGGAAACGGAATTGAGGAAGGGAGGAAGGGGCTGTGCCCGTGGGACTTCCACGTAATCCAGAGGGAGCGCTGGAAACTAGGGACGTGTACCCAGAGGACTGGGGCCCGTGGCATGGCTTGCTCCATCCTGGGAGCTGGCCGCAGATGCTGGCGGGGAGAGACTGCGGGTCGGACACGCCCAGGACAAAGGGCGCCTGATGTTGGGTTGCGTGAAAATGTCGTCCTTTTGATTCTGTGAAAGGCCTTGGCCTTTGTGTGCTTCATCTGTGTAAAGGGACGGCAGCGCTCCATGGAGTGTCTGGAGGAGGCCTGGCTGCTCAGCAAACACGACCTTCCCTTGGATTTGAACTTGAACCGGGAGCCAGGAAGGCGTCCAGTTGATGCCAAGAAAGCAATTCTTCCCTGAGTGTTTGCCCTTGGATCTGGAGGCCAAGGCTGGGTGGTGCCAAGAGGAGCCGGGTGTGGGTGATGGGGCTGAGGAGTGTTCCCACATGGGCTGGCCGGCAGGCGGGCGGGCGGGCGACCCAGGAGGGCGAGTTTGTCCCCAGGGCTCTGAGCCTGTGTGGCTCCCTGTCCCATGGACCCTGTTGTCCTGGGCCCGGGGCGAGGCTGGGGTGCAGCAGGTGGGGGCGCTGGGGGCCGCTGGCACAGCCAGACACTCTGGGTTTGAAGTGGATTCCCTGCTCGTGGGTTTGGAGAGGAAGGAGGTTGGTGATGCCCGAACCCTGTTTGTTCCTGATTTTGAGCCAAATTGAAGCCAGCTCAGTGCTGGGGTCCACCGCTTTCCCCAAGGAAGGGACTGAGATGGAGGCCATGCCAGGACCCCAGTGGGTGGATGATGGGAGCCCCAGGGGTGCACCGGTGTCCCCCAGGGGACCCGGTGGGTCCTGGTGCCCACATCCCCTGAGCTGTGACGCGGGGTCAGCAGAAGGCCTTCCCCGCATGTGGTTGGTGATCGGACGAGAAGCTCGTAGAAAGAACTTCCCACGGTGGCCGTGGGCTCAGCGAGCATGGACACTAGACCCGTCCCTCCCCGCGTTGACGCCCCCCAGCCCACTCGGGGCTTCTAGGGTCCTGGGGCCCCATGGGGAGCTGTGACCGATGGCGTGGGGTCTCGGCAGCATTGAGACGGGCTGTGCCGGGAGGCCTGCTGGGCTGGCCTCCCTCCCGTCCCTCTGTGGCGGCCTCCACGGGCGGCTTTGCTTTTCCCCATGTTTTTCCAATTATGTGGATCGGGCTAAAAACAGCAGTAGCGGGGCCTCACTTGGGAGTGGCCGCTGCCCTCCGAAGCCGGCTGCCCCTTGCCTCCCGCCTCCAGCACCCCACCCTGTGGCTCTGACTTCTGTCACCCTGGCCTTCCTTGCTGTTGGGGGCTTTGGGCAGAGGGCTTCGTGACGTGTGTCCTGCTGTTCATGGCCACAGTGACCAGACCAGGTGATTTATGGGGTCCCTGAGCCCCAAGCCATGTCCAGAATGTGACCGTGAGGAGCTGGCTGCCAGACCAGGCGCCCTGCACCCTGC